TCACTGCCGGGTATCTTCCGGGTCCAAGGGAATTTAGAAAAGGGTGGGTACGGCCTAAGCAGGCCGGGTGGGAATTTAGGGTTTAAGGGGAAGTGACGGAGGGTTGTGAGTCAAGCTGAGTATGCGTCTCTCAAGACCTGTGTCAGAGCCATAGCATTCTGTGGTGCGCTTCTGCATAGGGTGATTTCCTCGGGAGGGCGCGTAAGTTTTGATAGCATGTGCATAGTCGGCTCAGGTGCGAGTCAGTCAGGGAAAGCGGATCACCATCACCTTGGCCAAGAAGGCACGGAGCCACATTTGCCTCAAAGCCTTCAAGCCGCTCGCTTGGCTGCTGCGGTATATAAGCTCTACACCCTAAACCCGGAACCCTAAACCCTAAACCCTAAACCCCAAACCCTAAACCCTAAACCTCGAAGAAGCCTCAGAAAGTTCGCTTAGGCCCTCACAAGCCTCCCCTCCCAGAGTCGATTTTGGGTTGCTTTTAAGGGAACTTAGGGGACGTAGGGAACTTAGGGAACTTAGGGAACTTAGGGAACTTAGGGTTTATGGTTTAGGATTTGGGGTTTGGGGAACTGAAGTGCAGTTGTTATTCTCGCGGTCGATTCGGTTTTATCTCACATGCTTTACACGTTTTTTGGCTCTTGCCTCATTGTCCCTGTCTCAGGTGCCCAGCTACAGTACGAGCAGACTTGAGTATGCACTATGTGCTTTGATTGGATAACACCCATACCAAAAGCCAAAACAAAAAAACATCCAGAGGTCTTTGATGCTGGCGTCTTCCACTAAGAGCCCTTCAAAACAATTCGATTTTTGTTTGTCTGGGTATTCTTTTTGTTTTTCTTGTTGCTGCTTTTTTGTTTTCGAGTTTTGGTTCCCACAAGAGTCCATGAACATTTGTTCCTTTTGTTGCTTTTTCGGTTTGTCAGTATTTTTTTCGGTACTGTCTTGCCATTTGCTATGCTTATGCTTTTTTAGTCTGTTTTTGTGCTGTTTAGTAAGTCTTAGTACAAATTCTGTCCTTCCTTCTCCCCTTTTCTCCCCCCCCCCCCCTCCCCCCCTCTCACCCCCTCTCTCCCCCTGGATTTTTCTAGTATGCTGAGGAAAAGCACTGTCTCAAGAGCAACACTAATTGCCTGGAGAAAGCAATATTTGCTTATGAAATATCACCATATGCCTAATGAAACCAAAAAATCCAAGCTTCACCAGGGAATCTTCTGAAAGGCTTGGGTTTTGGGACCTTCATGAGGCAAGTTATGTGTTTTTTAGGGAAATTACAGATGAGTCCAAGGCTGGTTTATCGGCCTGCGAAGTCGGTGTCCCAATAGCTGTCCTTCGCTTCCCGTGCTCCATCCGAGACAAGAAGCCTACACGGGCGGAAATTCAAGTCTTGCTTGTATGCGCCATGCACGAACATATTCTCCGTCCACCGCCCATATTGAAAAAGCTACAAAACCGCAGGCCGCGCGGTGGTAGCATGCATATGTACACACACACACGACGAATAATTCATGAAGTTGTCTTGCTACTAATTGCATGGTGGCTTGATGTACTTCCTTAAGAGCAACCCAGCAATTTGGAATTCGATCCTGGCAGGATTACAAGTCCTGGGGCGTGCTTTCTCAGCGAAACTGGTGAGAGAGCGCAGCCGGCGGCAGCCAACAGTGCAGATGGAGTCAAAGAGTTGCGCAAAGATCCGTAGTTCGTAGGCTTTCTTAGACCATTCGCCGCTTCGGGAAATCGCGAGTCCTGAAAGACAATGGGAAAAACAGAAGCTCTGACCTGTGTGTTGCAGCTCCCCCCCCCCCTAAACCCTATGGACCCTATCTACAAACCCTATAAACCCTACGGCAGTACCCCACGATGAAGGCGCTACTTCAGCTTGCAAGCCACCAAGCCAACCACAAAGCTCAAAAGCCCTGTTCCAAAAACCTTGCGCCAAGGGTGGCCATCCATGTCTCGACTCAGTCGAAGCCCAAAGATCAGCCTGGGCCTCGGTGAGTTTTGCCACGCTGGGGGTTTACGACAATAAGGGACCCCGAATATAGACCCCAAAATAGTAGGATCCCCTTTTTCTCAGGACCCCAAGAAGGTACCCCTAATCTCGTAAACTCCCAGTCCTGGCCTAGGGTTTCGGGGTTTTTTGGCTCTGGATTCAAGTACCAGACAGGCTTCTTTCGATTCTCAAAACCTTTGTTACTGCGCGTTTGCGCGCGAAGCGTTCATGCCACTCCTGGATATGCGGGGGGGGGGGGGGGGGGGGGGGGTGCCCCTAAACCCTAAACCCTAAACCCTAAACCCTAAACCCTAAACCCTAAACCCTAACCTAAACCCTAACCCTAAACCCTAAACCCTAAACCCTAAACCCTAAACCCTAAACCCTAAACCCTAAACCCTAAACCCTAAACCCTAAACCCCAAACCCTAAACCCTAAACCCTAAACCCTAAACCCTAAACCCTACACCCTAAACCAACCCTAAACAGGATTTAGGGGTTTAGGGTTCAGGGTGCCTTGTCGTGTTTGTTTACTTTTTGTGAGTTGGACAAGACATTTCCAGCTCGCGCAGTTGCAATGAATCAAAACGACGACATCGATCTGCAGTTTGGATGGCAAAGCGAAAGCCCGGAATACAACGCAGGTACTAATACAAATACAGCAGGTCTGAAATCGCCCCGAATTTAATCGATCAGCTATTAATAATAATAGATGAGTCTAGTGATGGCATGGTCCATGGTCCATGACGAGATGTAGTCGTGATCGTCGTACTTCGATGAGCTGATAATGGACCCTGTGATGTTCGTCACGAGTTTTCTTAGATTAGTTGGCCCCTTTTCCTGGGTCTTAAGATGGAGATTCTACTAATTCTGGGGGTGTACATGGGAGTTGGAGTTTGGAAACTCCCACACCCTAAACCCTAAACCCTAAACCCGAAACCCTAAACCCTAAACCCTAAGCCCTAAACCCTAAACCCTAAACCCTAATTCGTTGTAGTGGGATCCTGGCAGGCGGACCGCCATTGCCAGCGCAATGGCCACGCTGCCCGCTCCTTACAAGGCAGTTCTGTTTACGAGTTGTCGGGAATTAAGTAATTGGGTAACTAGGTAATTAGGTAGTTAGGTAACTAGGCATAATTAGGTAATTAGGTAATTAGGTAATTAGGTAATTAGGTAATTAGGTAATTAGGTAATTAGGTAAATTACCTAATTAGGTAGTTAGGTAATTAGGCAATTAGATAATTGGGTACCGTACATCATATCCCACATGAACCCTTTCGCCAGGAAGTGCTTTTAAGTTTTAAACCTCTCCTAGTGGAGATCAAGTCTTCTTATGAGCCCCCCGGAAGAACCCTTGCGCGGCGCCTGGAGAGCTTTTTGCTAGACCCCATGAGCACATACCCAGACCTCTTTCCTTGAGCTTTAAAAACCCTAAACCCTAAACCCTAAACCCCAAACCCTAAACCCCAAACCCTAAACCCCAAACCCTAAACCCTAAACCCTAAACCCCAAACCCTAAACCCTAAACCCTAGGTCAAGATTCGACCAGATCTGCGTGGTCTGGTCGAACTTCTACAACAAGGCGCCTTCCCTGCATCGGGTGCGTCTGGCAAGATACGGGGGTTTACGATATTTGGGGGGTCTATATGTGGGGTTCTTTTTTATGAGGGGATCCTACTCTTTTGGGGGGTCTATATGTGGGGCCCCTTGTTATCGTGAACCCCGACATCCGAGTTCAGACACGATTGTCAAGTTGGCTGAGCACGCGACCCAGACCCTTGTCAGGCAGAAGTGTCTCCGGCGCTTCTATCGCAGCGACCACTGCTGCCCTACCCCTAGCAGCAGAGTGAACGACCGATGGTCTTCTCAAATCCATCAGGATCATGGAATGGACTGTGCTTTTCTGTGGCCATGGTGGTGGAGGGGCCCTTTCAAGCTGAACCCCATTCTCATGTCAGGAGGAAGAGTTGGTGTTCCCCACACAAATGGCGCATCAACTCTCTTCCCAACCATCCCATGACCTGCAACCCCTCATAATCCAGCTCGCAGCCACTGGTAGCCGCTGGCCTGCAAGGATGGACCCCACAAATCCGACCGTGAACGTGGCACGCCCAGAGGCGGGCGGGATGTCGATGGGCACTGGCAGCCTTCCGGCTTAAGACAACCACTTCCCCCGCCATAGGGAAGGTTCTCTACATCAGGGTCCTTGTTTGGCAAGTCGGAGAGTTGTATACAGGGTACAGTACCCAAAGAAGAGTAGAGAAACTCCCCCCCCCCCTCGTATCACATCATAGAAATGAGACCGTGGTACCTATGTCAGCAGATGACGAGGACCTGACAATATCGGGTCATCATGTACATGATGAGAATGATCTCGATCGATCATGGGATCGTGTCCTGATTCCCCATGCTCCAGAAACCACTCCAACCGAGCTTGACACCACATGCGCCTCAGATGTTCGACTGGTCCCAGATGGTCTCCCTGGCGAGGCCATCCTTTGCCACTCATCTCAGCCTTCTTGCACGGCACCTTAGTGGCTGCATGCAGGTCTACTCGCTCCAGCTTCTTCCGGCCCTGAGGGGCTGTGGTGATGTGCAGCTTAGCGTCGCCCGTCGGACAAAAAGCGGTCGAGCCGGGCCAGATCGCACGCAGTTTAAACTCCCCAAACCGTTGACAAACCGAAACCCGAGACTATACAGGCCAGCTGTGCAAGCCTTAGCACTGCGCCAGCTTCAAAAAAGAGCGGAAACCTGAACCCGCAGCCGTCACGTGCTTGGGGTTTAGGTTTTAGGGTTCAGGGTTTGAGGTTGAGGGTTTAGGGTCTCTCAGCTCCTCCTCCACTTGAAGCTCGCCTAGACCCCTGCGACCACTTCACCGTGGAGCTGAGCAAACCAACCAACCGACTCAACAGACGACTTTAAACACCTCATAGGGTCCCCAAGCCTTACCCTGAGCCGAAGCCTCCAACCAAAATCTCCAAAAGACATCCTGTCCGCCGCGATTGGTCATGGCGGAGAAGTCTCAGAAGCAGAAAGCGGCAGCCAAACAGGCATCCGGGTGTGAGGGTAGGTAGAATGCGAAAGAGGCGACTACACGTGGAACCCCACACTTCTGCATCATGATTCAGCCACACAGATCGGGAACTACCATGGAGTTCTGACGCTCGGCTCAGCCAGGCAGCCGTCTCAGCGGCCAAAGCCACTGAGCAGCGCGTCGGTGGCGAGGACAGAACAGTTCATGTCTTGGTCGGGTGACTCCTGCGCGCCATGTTTTGGCAGTGCGGCACCCTGAACCCTAAGTCCCTAAGCAATTAAACCTAAGTAACTAAACCCTAAGTCCCCAAGAAATTAAACCCTAAACCCTAAGTCCCTAAGGAATTGAACCCTACCCCCCAAATGGGGCTTTGGGGAGCCTCAGTCGCCTGCCAAGATTGCCCAAGTGTGTTTGTGTGCGTGTGTGCTTGTCCCTGTGTCTGTGTGTGTGTGTGCATGGAGAGAAGTTATGAAAAGACATGCCGTAAGTGGGTTCTGGGTTTAGGGTTTTGGGGTTTCGGGCTTAGAGGTGCTTGGCAAAGAAGCTTTACTTCCGTAGTCTGAGGATCTTTGGGGGTACTGAAACAAGAAGCGACTTTGCTGTTACCTGTGATGGTCTGGTTTAAATTGCGGGAAACCACTTTGGTTGGGTCTGGAGACTGAACCTCCCAGCGTCCATAGGATTTAGGGCATGGTTCTTGCACTGGAGACTTCTGGGACAGGATGCCAAGAAGAAGTTCACACGCATTGACGCCTTTGAGGGTATCTACTCGCTCCCTTGCTTGCAGACTAATTACCTGGGTTTAGGGTTTAGGGTTTAGGGGATTATGCTCATGGTCTATGGCTAATGGGCAATGTCTGGCAATTCAGACATGCACGCTGACCAAGCATCCTGCCAAGAAGCATCAACGTTTCATTGGGCGTTCAGGAACGATGCTTCCGGAAACTTGGTTGATGCCCAACTGAGGTTTCTGTCAATGGATGAGCCTTGTGCGGTGCTCTTTGGCAGCTCCCTCCACCACTCGGCGAGGCATGCGCGGCGTGGCTGTTCAAGGGAAGTTGTAGCCAATCTCTGCCCTGCCTCGAAAAGTGGTGCCCCTCCTACCTTGTCGTATCAGTTTATCAGTCTTTGGTTTTCGTGGTCACTTTTTCATGGGTGGTGGGTCGGGCTTGATGAACATGGATGGAGTCGTTGAACACGGATGACATCTGATGAAGAGTGATGAGCTGTGTACACCTCTTCCTGGCAGTGGATTCACACTTGCAGGTCAATGTTGCACGCCAACATTCCCATCGGGTCAATTCCAGAAGCACCAGTCCCCTGCCCTAAACCCGTAAACCCTAACCCTGAACCGTAACCACCCTGACTACCCAAACCTCTGCCCTGAGCCTTCCATGCCATCTTAGGCTTCTGGCCGCCCAGTACCCAGATGCTTCCGACCAGTTGCAGGCGTGGCGAGTTTCCAGCCCGCCCTCGTGGCTCTTAGAACTTTCAGGCAAGAAATATCATGTCAAGCTCTCAGCAAGGGCTCCCCTAAACTCCTAACATCAACTCACTCAACCCACTTGGACTACTAATGGGACATATATACTGGGCGTTCGCGCTCTCCCCGTCGCACTTTGAGACCCCAACTATCCCTAAATGCCACTTCCAATCGTATTGCAGTGCGGAAAGCGTGCGTGGTCTTGCCCTTCGTGCGCATGAATAGTACTTTAACGGGGACCTTGAGTCTCATCCCCCCAACATGCTGTGCCATTCGGGATGTTCCCTGCATACTAGCAGTCCTTAATAGGGATTATCGTACCCCCGTGATCATCCCGATTAATGTTGACTTCGCATTAATAAACCCCCCCCCCCTTCATTGATCAATCTTTTCGGCCAGGGCCTCCTCAATAATATCCGCCTAAATCCTGGTAGGACGTAGTATTAGTTTTAGTATTAGGTAGTAGTACCACTAGTAGTACTAGTAGTACTAGTAGTACTAGTAGTAGTAGTAGTAGTAGTAGTAGTAGTAGTAGTAGTAGTAGTAGTAGTAGTAGTAGTAGTAGTAGTAGTAGTAGTAGTAGTAGTAGTAGTAGTAGTAGAGTAGTAGTAGTAGTAGTAGTAGTAGTAGTAGTAGTAGTAGTAGTAGTAGTAGTAGTAGATTCTCTTCCAACACCCTGAAACTTATCAGTTTAAGTTAGTTGCACAACATCGCCCGAAAAAAAAAATAATTCCGGGCGGGGATTTTATAATTGTGGCGGGTTACATTATTGTGTTCCGGGCAGCGGGATTTTATAATTGTAGCGGGCTTTATTAATGTCAAGTCAACATTAAGGACACAAGGGGGCACATAAAAATGTACCATGAGGAGTCTTTCTACGTGACGGGACCTCTTTTGGCAAGGAAGCCCACCCTCTATCTCACCCTTCGACGCTAGCTAGGCTTGCCACTCGAAAACCACACGCTGCACTCTCTTCCTGTCACACCTTAAGAGACCCTGTTAAACCGCAACATCATGTGCATCTGCCTCACTCTCTGGTTCCTGCCCTCGGGTGCACCAAGCGGGCCTTTTGCCTCGGGACCCCAACCGCCTGTCTAACCTTAAAGAACCCAAGAATCATAGCAATGTTACAAACACACATCTCAATGCACAAATAGTATGAGAATTTCTTTTTAAAGAGATTCAAATCTTATGAAGATGGCTTAGTATCCTAAACCCTAAATCGTAAACCCTAAGCCCTAAACCCTAAGCCCGAAACCCTAAACCCTAAACCCTACGGTTGAAGCCCTGCTTCACTTTGCAGGCTCCGGGCGCCCTGGAGCTGCAGGCTGCATTGAAGCTAGTTGAGAGCGAGCAGGTGCCTTTGCCGTGTTTTTTCGTTCAGCTGGGGTTTGGGGTTGAGGTTTGGGGTTTTAGGGTTTAGGATTTAGGGTTTAGGGTTTAGGGTTTAGGTTTAGGGTTTAGGGCTCACGGCACAGCCGAGAACATGAAGCCCAAGCTTGGACCTCTCCCGTAGCGACTTCGCAGCTTCAAAAGCGATCCCTTGAAAATTGGGGTTAAAGAAGATAGGGGACCCCTATAGACCCCAAAATAGTAGGATCCTAAACCCTAAACCCCAAACCCTAAACCCTAAACCCCAAACCCTACACCGTAAACCCTAAACCCTACCCCGTATAATAAGGACCCCAATAAGGTACCCCCAATATCGTAAGCCCCCCAAGTGATCGCTCGAGATTCAGTTCGTGTCGAGGAGGCATCGGATTGGAGCCACAACGTCCGTCTCAAGGCGGGCCTGCCTACTTCAAGGGTTCCCTAAAGCCCTAAACCCTAAACCCTAAACCCTAAACCCTAAACCCTAAACCCTAAACCCTAAACCCTAAACCCTAAACCCTAAACCCTAAACCCTAAACCCTAAACCCTAAAACCCTAAACCCTAAACCCTAAAACAATAAACCCTAAACCCCTGTCAACGAGGCCATGGAGCGAATCCAGCGCGACAAGTTTCAGCGATGCGAAGACTTCCGTGGCCGGGCCAAAGATGGGGGAGAGGTGAGGTTTGTGCTTCGAAGCGGACGCTTAAGGTTTAGGCCTTAGGGTTTCGGGTTTTAGGGTTTAGGGTTTAGGGTCTAGGGTTTTGGGTTTAGGGTTTGGAGTTTAGGGTTTGGGATTAGGGTTCCTTGCGGATGTGCATTGTCAAAACATGGTGCATCATGGCTGCGTTTGGGGGGGTGCAGAGGGAACTTCCAGGGGAGTTTGTGGACAAAGTCCTCTCCAGATGCTGCGTTTAGGGTTTAGGGCTGCGCCTCTCAACGATGAGGCAAGAAGCTGAAAGAGACGGGCGACCGAGATCTTGTGTGCCCATGGCTGCATACACAGCTGCGGAGTCTAGTAGTAGGTTGGCAAGCACGGAGGAGTACCCTATCGGAACAAGGACCAAAGAACAAGCCAGTAGAGCCCGAACCGAACGATGCTTTTGCTGTTGAGAAGCTACAGACTGACTCACAGTGCGTGGCCACTCCTTTGTACGCCGAACAGCGGAAGGTGGGAGAATGATGAGGATACCTTCTGGGGTTCCACCAAAGGACGTGGACAAAACCATTTGGGCAGATGCTCTGCTGCTCCCAGTTTGCCATGGTCCTTTTTGGCGGCTAAACACAAGTTGCAGTTCACCGTCCTGTGTCAATTAGGGTCGTGCGCTTTTGACTTGGTCTTGTGCTTGCACGAAGTCAATGAAGTGCTCCTGAGGAATCCTCATGGAAGTCCGTGCCAGCATCCAGGACGAGACAGACTTTGCTTCCTGGCTCTTCCTTTGTTGTGCCTCGGTCTCGGAAAGCATCTCGATTTTTTTTTGGTATATGTCGCTAGTTCTCGAAGCTCACAGAGTGAGGGGCAGGAGACGCTTGCAGCCAAGGAGGACCAAAACTATGCAGCAGGACAACGAACCTGCAAGCTATGATTTTAGCCGTAGGCAACAGACAGCATGTCCAGCAGCCTAGTACTTCGTAGCCAAGCACCTACCTCATCCGTGGATAAATCTCCGTCGCCACAAGAAAGCTCTACTGCAACTGCTGCCATTGCAAACATCCCTGACATTCCGTGCGCCCTGGGCCCGGCGCATTACTCCTGCACTCCATACACTGAAGGTTCAGGGTCTTGGGTTTAGGGTTCAACTAGGGACCCCAAGCCCAAGAAAGACTGAAATAGGCAAGACATGTGGGGGCCTTAATAGTTAGAATAGGGTTTTGGGGGCGATTAGAGTATAAATATAGCGGGGCCATAAGGGAATAAGATTTCGTAATTCTTCCGACCCTTATGTGGGTAGTTCTCTAAATTAGGGCCATTTTTGGGGATCCTTTTCAAAGGGTGCCGCCTTATAAGGGGTACCCAAGAAGGGGCCTAAACCCTAAACCCTAAACCCTGAACCCTGAACCCTGAACCCTAAACCCTAAACCCTAAACCCCAAAATTACCTATGTGACACGAGAAGAGATGCCTTGAACTGAGGCCAGCTCGAAAGTGATGCTGTGAGATGGCCGCCGGTGGAGCTGGTGGAGAGCAAGGTTGGGTTTAGGGTTTAAGGTTTAGGGTTTAGGGATTAGGGTTTAGGGGTTAGGGTTTAGGGTTGAGGGTTGAGGGTTGAGGTTTAGGGCTCAGGGTGTAGGGGTTGTAGGGGTCGGTACTCATGCCGAGTTCGTGTGTGGAGGAATGCACTGTGGTGTCCTTTTGGGATTTGCTCGACAAAACATAAGCCCCTATACAGCTTCTGTCGCTGAGCTGTGGCAGCTCCATGCCTGCAGGATGATGGGTCCGGCGAGAAGCAGGCCTCGCAAGAGCTGTTTATTCTTTTTTTGGGGGGTAGATTACTATATGTTATCGTTCTTCACTCGCTGCGCCGTTCGCGGAGCTTGTGGTGCAGAGGCGTCCAGTTGTTTGAAGCGGAAGGGTTCGCGGACCCGTAGATACATCTCATTCTGCTTGGGCATTTGCAGCACGTGCTGCGCAGCCTAGTCTTGGACTGCGAGGTTTCCGGACACAAGTGCATTCAAGAGCATATCTTGCAAGGTTCACCGCCTGACAGGCAAGGAGTATTTCAAGTTCGGCAAGCTGCTTCACCGCACCTGTGAGGGTGGGTTGTCGGCATGATGGTTTTGAGGACGGTCCTTGCGTTATCCCCCAAGATCTCTTTCGTCATGCCCACCACCACCACCGTCGTCGTCGTCGCCGTCGCCGTCGCCGTCGCCGTCGTCCTCGTCGTCGTCGTCGTCGTCGTCGCCGGCGCCGCTGCCGGCGCCGCCGCCGGCGCCGGCGCCGTCGCCATCGCCGTCGCCGCCGCCGTCGTCGTCGTCGTTGCCGTCGCCGTCGCCGTCGCCGCGGTCGTGGTCGTTGTCGTCGTGGTGGTGGCGGTTGTGGTTCTTGTTGTTTGTCTGTCTGTCTGTTTGTTTGTCTGTTCGTTTCGCCTTCAAATGTAGACTGCTATTGCAGCCATCCGGGAACTTCGCCAAGGCTGCCGTCGAATGCGGTGGTCGCCATGCATCCTTCCACGTCGCGAGAGCATGCGATCGTCTTGCATACCAAGGCAGAGGCGGGAGCTGTTTCACCTGAAGCCTGTATGTTTGATTTGGGCCCTTTGATCAAAAGACGTGCAAGTAGGTGGCTATTGATTTGATGCACTTGCATGGCTTTACGGCACGGATTTGAAAATGCATTCGTGGTTTATTCTTCAGGGACCGAAAAACCTCTCAGCGCTCGAGCGTGAGCTTAGAAGTGTTGAGGCACGTATTTTTCGCTGAGCCCCAAAAGGCTTAACAGGGCATGTATGTGATCCCAGTTGTCGGGTTCAGCCAGCGCGGTATGGCTGCCTTTTGCGCATGCCTCGTGACAGGGTCGTCCCACGCCCAAACCCTAAGCTCTAAACGCTGAGTCCTAAAACGTAGAGCCTTCATCTGCTTCTTTCCTGAGCATGCCCGGCCCTTGTGGTGGCGTTGGCCAGATATGAAAACACAGACAGCCTCAAAGTCAACCGTCGTTGGCTCACCATCAGGCGTTCGTCCATGGCCCTGCAGTATGGTCTTGGGAGCTTAAGATGTTTTGTTGGGATATTCTCCGTTATACTAACAGTCCTTAATAGGGATCATAGAACCAGGATTGCTAGTATAAGGGGAACATACCAAGATGTTTGTATTGGCGTCCCGGTTGATCCATTGCTGGATGTCAGGTTGCGCGGCCAGCTGGTGGCGTGGCCGTCATGGATCTGGGCTCGAAGTTCGGGACCCACGTGGACGGCAGGAGCTGAAGTTGGAAAGCCAGACAGCATCCTCAGGCTGAGGCCCTAATCCATCTCAACCCTGAACCCTATATAACACCTGAGGTTAAAGATCAGCGAACCAGACCACGTTAGGATTTCCGTAGCTTTCGCCTTTCTCGGCCCCTGGCCCTCCTTCATAAAAGGTGCATGGGGGTTCACAATGAAGGAATCCAATATGGGTTTGGGTTTAGGGTTTAGGGCTAGAGTTTAGGTTTTAGGCTTTAGAGTCTCAGGGTTAAGGGTTAGGGTTCAGGGTTTAGGCCATCGAAGGATGATGCTAGTGAGGATGCAGATGAGGATGATGATGGTGATGATGATGGTGATGATGATGGTGATGATGATGATGGTGATCACGATGATGGTGAGGATAAGGATGAGGATTAGGAGTAGCAGCCTTTGCCATTTTCTGCACAGAGGTTCCACTCCAGAAGTAGACGTGTACCTCAGGGCATGGAAAGGCGCTTCACTACTCATCATTGCCGTTGCACAGGCAGAAAGCCCTGCCCTCCGAATTCGGATGACGCTGCCTGCCAGGAGACTCCCGCAAGCTTTCGTGACGTCCTCAGCCAACTTACCGCCTGCGGTTCTGACAACCAAACGCCTGAGACCTGAAATTCCAAACTCGTTGCCCTACATCTGACAGAAGAATTTCTGAGAATCGATACCCTTTCATCCCGCCGACAGAAGACGTCCCGGGACACCCCCCCTTTCAAGCATAGCTTCTTGGAAGGGGGTCCCGTCGGGCGCCGCCCTAAACCCTAAACCCCTAAACCCCTAAACCCCTAAACCCCTAAACCCCTAAACCCCTAAACCCCTAAACCCCTAAACCCCTAAACCCCTAAACCCCTTAACCCCTAAACCCCTAAACCCCTATACCCCTAAACCCCTAAACCCCTAAACCCCTAAACCCCTAAACCCCTAAACCCCTAAACCCCTAAACCCCTAAACCCCAAAACCCCTAAACCCCTAAACCCTAAACCCTAAACCCTAGACCCTAAACCGCCCAAGATGCGAAGCATCCGAAGCACCCCGAAGTTTCGATGAGTGCGGCGCCCAGGTCCTGGAACCCCTCCGGACCGGATCGAAGATCAAGCTGGGCACTTCTACCCGCAGCTACGAGGTCCCTCAACCCCCCCCCCAGTCCTAGGAGCCCTTAAGATGCCCGAAATCCCGAAATCCTCAGCCCTAAACCCTAAACCCTAAACCCAAAACCCTAAACCCTAAACCCTAAACCCTAAACCCGAAGCCCTGCGCAGGTGAAAGTGAACCTCCGCTCACAGATCGAAGAGCTCGAGCGACAGCAGCGTGAGCTGATGCGGGAGGTGCAGAGCATCGACCAGGAGCTTGGATTTCTTTTCCCTTTGCCCCTGGGTCCAGAGGCGTAGACTGGCATATACACATACAAGCGCAAGATAGAAAGAAAGATAGCTAGATTACATTTATGTATGTATGTATATATATATATACATGTATGTCTATATTTTTATACACACATAGAGATGTTACCGCACCCTCCATGTACCCGCGTTTTGTCTCCAAAAACCTTGACAGAAGAAGATGGCCAGAGACATTCCTCGATGCTGACAGCTTACAGGAGTATGCATGTGACTTACACGAACAATGGAGAAGTGACAAGAAGGCAGCGAGGCAAGATGTGGCAAACGACTGTTTCGTAGCGAGCGGGCCTGGTACTGATGCGCCTACCCCCCCCCCCCCCCCCCCCCCCCCCCCCCCCCCCCCCCCCCCCCCCCCCCCCCACCCAGACTGGCCAGAAAGGAGGGCAGGACATTCCTCGATGCACAAAGGAGAAGATGGACAAGCAAGGCAGCGAGGCAAGAAGGGCACGGTGTTTCGTAGGCCGCGGATGGGGCCCCGGTACTGACTGCATACCCACCAACCCCACACCCCCACCACTTACCCCCCCCCCCCCCCCCCCCCCCCCCCCCCCCCCTCCCCCCCGCCCCCCGCATTTCTTGGACCTTTCATTATTGGGCTTGGTGCAAAAGGTTTATGCTGTTGGCTTACGACCTTTGAGGTTCAGGGCTTGCCATCCAAAAACGACCTTTGCCGGTTTTAGGGTTTGCCACCCCAACAGAACCTTGTAGGGCATGACCCTTTACGGTTTAGGGTATGCAACCCTTAAACGTGACCTTTGGAGTTGAGGGTTTCCCTGACCTTCAGGGTCCGGGGATTGCCGACCAACATCTTCTTTATTAGGCTTAGGGGTTGCCACCAGGATGTCCCCTTTGGGGCTAGGGGGCTTAGGGTTTGCCACCCAATATGAGATGAGGGTTCAGGGTGACCTTAAGGTCCAGGGTTGCCGCCCAACATCTTCTTGTAGGGCTCTCGGGCTTGGTGCTTTAGACCTTTTGATGTTCGACATTTCTTCCACGAATCCGGGCAAGGGATAGGGTACAGGGGGGGGAACACCCATATACATCACGTGTGTCGAGGATGCTGCAGATTCACTGCAAGCTGCCAAGAGGCTTGCCAAAGAGAGAGGGGCTTTCCCCTTGTCTTGGCAAAAGCCATGCCACCAATTCCATAGGACAGCAGCTGCTGGCATTAGGGTCGTTGTTCGTAGATCATCTCATCCCTTCTTGGCGTGCACCTCCACAACAAAGTCTCCCAAAAACTGACAATTTCACAAGGAGGCTACCTGCCAGGACCCTAGCCGCAGGGCAACAGTCGCAGTTGCATGCAAATGATTATCGAGCTTTCTGAACGCTTCGTACGCAGCGGTTCCAACGTTGGGAAACATGAAGCATTCTCAAGGCTTTGTCGGCAAATTGAGAGTACGACACAGAGAAGGGTGGGGGTTTAGGGTTTAGGGTTGGGCAACTTTCTTCCAGAACGCGTCGCCCAATGGGTTGGGGGTACCTTGCACCACAAGGATCGTTATGCTGATCGGAATCCCCCAAAAGACCATTAACCCTAAAACCCGAAACCCTAAACCGAAACCCGAAACCCGAAAACCTGAGAGAAGCACCCTGACAAAAGACTCTCAGGCCGATCCTCGGACTTTTCCAGGATTGTGGGCCATGTGGAGGAGGCTTTCGCGGGTCTTATAAGAGGTTTGGGGTGTAGGGTTTAGGGTTTTAGGGTTTAGGGTTCAGGGTTAGGGTTTAGGGTTCGGGCAATTCTGTGATGACCCCCGACCAAGATGGCCCATTCGAATTCTCCAGTCAAGTCAAGGTACGGTTTCCCCGGCAGCAGCGAAGTCGGTGGAAAGGCTGTGAAGGCAGCGATGCTTTCTGAGGGCTGAAGTCAGGGCTGTAGCTGAGAGCTGACGGTCTCCACTTTGTGGCTATTCCCATCTCAACACACCACACACACACACACAACACACACACACACACACACACACACACCACACACAACACACACACCACACACACACACACAACACACACACACACACAACACACACACACACACACACACACCACACACACACACAACACACACACACACACACACACACACACACAACACCCACACCACACACACACACACACACACACACACAACACACACACACACACACACACACACACACACACACACACACACACACAACACACACCCACACACACCACACACACACACACACACACAACACACACACACACACACACACAACACACACACCACCACACACACACACACACACACACACACCACACACACACACACAAACACACACACACCACCACACACCCACACCACACACACACAAAAACCACCACAACCAACACACACACACACGCACGAAACCACACACACCAACACACACACACACACACACACACTCACACACACACACACCACACACACACACACACACACACACACACACACACACACAACACCACACACACACAACACACACACACACACACACACACACACCACACCACAACACACACACACACCACACACACACACACACACACACACACACACACACCACACACACACAAACACACACCACACACACAACACACACACACACACACACACAACAGACACACACACACACCACACACACACACACACACACACACCACACACACACACAACACACACACACACACACACAAACCCACACACACACACACACACCCACACACACACACACACACACACACACACACCACACCCACACCACACAAACACACACACACACACACACACACATATAGTGGTTTAGGGGTTGGGGGTTTAGGGTTAGGGTTTAGGGTTTAGAGTTTGGGGTTTAGGGTTTAGGGTTTAGGGTTTAGGGGTCTAGGGTTAGGAGTTTAGGGTTTAGGGTTTTTGGGGTTAGGGTTAGGGTTAGGGCTCCTCTGAAGTCGTTGCATTGCTTCCCACGCAGGACCCACCAGGGCATCGCCTTTCGTTCTTTGACTCGGCCATGGCGGCCGGCGGGCCGTCGGACTGTCGGGGGAGATGTTCAAGGCCCTAAAACCCTAAACCCTAAACCCTAAACCCTAACCCTAAATCCTAAGCCCTAAACCCTCAGGGACACCTCGGACTGAAATCCATAGTTGAGGTTCCTCAGAGGTGCAGAGAGCTTTTCTTTCGAACTCCAGCTGTCCCTAAACCCTAAACCCTAAACCCCAAACCCCAAAAAGCCCCCCCCCCAAAAAAAAAAAAAAAATCGATCCTCCCAGGGCAGGCGACTGAAGGTGTCGCCAGCTGGAGAAAAGCCAAAGGGAGGCGGCACCTGGCCTCCAATGGTGAGAGCATAGTGAGACCCTGTTTCCTCAATATTTTCCTATGTGGGTTTAGGGTTTGGGGTTTAGGGTTTAGGGTTTAGGGTTTAGAGTTTAGAGTTTAGACTTTAGGGTGTTTAGGGTTTAGGGGTAGATCCCCCGAGATATCCTCCTTTGCGTTCAGACTCGGGGAGCGGTTCGACTTTGTGACGGGATCGGCACCTCGCATGTCAGGTTTAAGTTTGGAAGGTGGCTTTCCTCGTTGGGCCTCAGCCTCGCATTTTAGGGTTTAGGGTTTAGGGTTTAGGGTTTAGTGTTTAGGGTGTAGGGTTGTCACAATTCTGAGGCAAAGGCAAGGGCAAGGAGGGCAAGGATGGCAAGGACGGCGACGAGGACGGCCGCCGCCACGATGCGGGCTCTCGGCAGTACCTCCGCGACATGCTCGACGGCCCCCTGGTGCCGTGAGGGGTTTGACACGCTTTTTCATCGTTTTGGGGGGTTTCCGAAAATAGGGGGGGTGCCCTTTTTGGGGGTCCCTTTAAGGGGTTTCTACTCGATTTGGGGTATAACCGGGGTACCCCTTTTTTGGGAAATAAACCATTTCTGCTGGGCTTGGGCATAAGCAGGATCCAAGGACAGAGTCGCTACACAATCGGACGATCGAGGCTTGCGTCAAAGCAAGCCCTCACTTAGGAAACCGGGTGCCCCCTTCCCTTATGGTCCCTTTGCAATTCTACAATAGTAATTCTTCAGGCCCCTATACAACGCCCTAAGCAGGAGGTGACATGCATCATGCCCAGGCAAGTGGGAGCGCGGAGTGGCCTTACCCTCGCTGAGCCCCGAGCGCCGGGGAGGCCGCGGAGGAGGGGCACCGGACCGGCGTGCGCCGAGGCTCAGTGCTGGGTGCAGGGTTTAGGTTAGGGTTCAGGGTTTAGGGTCGAGGGTCTTCGAGAGTTTTCAAACGTCTTCAAGAGGTTCTAGATGTTTTGGGTCCTGTGGAATCCTGACTCCGTGACGGCTCTTCCTGCGCAGATCGATCGGAGGAAGGCTTCTACCGTACACAAAAGGGGCCAAACATAAACCCTAAACCCTTAACCCTAAACGCTAAACCCTAAACCCTAAGCCCTAAACCACTCCCTCAACATGAAACTTGTACCACTCAACGGAGCTGCGGAGCAGGGCTCGGAGCTGCAGTCGGAGCCGCAGCCGGAGCCGGAGTGACGACCGCGACGACCTCACGCGCCGGCGCGAGGAGAAGCGGCGCGAGGCGCGCGACCTTCGTGTGACCGCAGGCTGCAGGATTTTGGAGTCCGGAGCGGATCTTGCAATGTAAGCTGAAGCATATGGGGGCTTAGGAATATAAGGGACCTTATGAACCCTATTATAGTCCCCCAAGGAGTAGGGTTCCCTGAAAATAAGGATCCCAATAAGGCACCCCTGTTGGCTCTTGCGCTGCGTGAGGTGAATCGGAGGGTGCAAGAGCGGCAGCATCAGCAGGAGCGGTCGCGCGAGCGCGCCGCAGCCTTGGAAATCTGCCAGTTGCCATATGGGGATTTCCGAAAAGAGGGGTACCTTGTTTTGGGGGTTCCTTTAACGGATTACAGTATTTTGGCCGGGTACCCCTATTTTCGGAAATCCCCATAGGGGGGGGGGCTTCCTTGTTTCTTGTTTGGGACATGTTTTCCTCAGGAGAAAGACAGGAAGGAACGAATAAAGGCAGCGGACCAACGGTTGAAGGACAAGGAAGAGAAGAAGCCGAAGAAGAAAGCGAAGAAGCCCGTGAAGCGAGACTCGGACCAGAAATGGCGCTGCTTTGAGTGGGTCGGAGGCGTAGGCCACTGAAGATGCACATGATGCACATGGTACCCTAAACCCCTAAGCCCCTAAGCCCCTAAGCCCCTAAACCCCTAAACCCCTAAACCCCTAAACCCCTAAACCCCTAAACCCCTAAACCCCTAAACCCCTAAACCCCCTAACCCCTAAACCCCTAAACCCCTAAAACCCCTAAACCCCTAAACCCCTAAACCCCTAAACCCTAAGCCCTAAACCCTAAACCCCTAAACCCCTAAACCCCTAAACCCTAAACCCTGTAAACTCTAAACCCCAATCCCTGAACCCAAGGAAAAAAGAGCAGCTCGGGGAGTAGTCGCTTGGCTTGGGAGAGCTGCGCGGAAGCGCCCAACGGGCTCTGACCCCCATCCCCCCCCCCCGCCCCCACCTCCCCAAAATAGGCGCCCCAAAAAGGGACCCCCCAAACGGGGGGACGGCCCCAAAAGGGCACACCCCCACAAGGGACCCCAAATTTCGAAAGAAATACTAAACCCTGAACCCTGAACCCCAAGCCCAAAACCCTAAACCCTGAACCCTAAACCCTAAACCCGTCTTCGTGAGGTGACAGCAGCTCAAGCTCGCCTTCGAGCGCCTGAGCAGGCTTCGGAGCCTCCGCCTGCGAAGAGACCAGGGCCAAAAGGAAGCGCCGTGGGGTTCAGGATGTTAGGGTTCAGAGTTTCAGAGTTTAGGGTTTAGGGTTCAGGGCTTAGGGTTTAGGGTTTATAGGGTCTCGGGTTTAGAGCCTAGGGTCTAGGGTCCGGTGTTTTTTTGAAGTTTCGGGGGCCCCTTCGCAGTTCCCCTGACAAGGACTGCATGCAGAGAGGGCTGAGCGACGTGAGAGGATTGGACTTAGAGTTTAGGGTTTAGGGTTTAGGGTTTAGGGTTTAGGGTTTAGGGTTTAGGGTTTAGGGTTTAGGGTTTAGGGTTTAGGGGGAGGTATGCTCACTATCTTCTGTTGGTCCGTATATGGCATCTTCCGACTACTTGGCAGCTGGCTTTTAGGCCGTGCAACAGAAGCAGGTTATTAGGCGCAGCACCTCGTGTTGTACACACGACACGCCCACCCAGTCCCAGTGTTTCCAGAGAGAGTTGCCCCAACTCCGCTGCAGCTTCGCCCTTCCGACATCTGCCATGGCTCCAAAGAAGCGTCCTGCTGCAGCCAAGGCGCATATCGGAGATAGCCGGTCTTTTCACCTGCTATTTGCTTAAGAACACCAAAGCAAGAAAAAGGCAAATACTCTCCCGTTTACCCTTATCAGGAAGAATAATTTTCTTTTTTTTGGGTTCTTAAGCAATTGGTAGAAACGTAGCTAGACAGTGTAGACCTGGGCTCCAGGTCCTGTCGGTCATAAGGGAAACATCCTGCGAGCGGGTCAGGGCGGGTTGGCAGAGTATGTTGCATTGTGCAGCAAAGGCCTCTTCGGCGAAGAAGGGCAAGTATGTTGAAGAGGACGGCGAGCATGGAGCATTCAATTGCCCCCCCCCTCCCACCCCAGAAGCTGCGGAACATGGAGCACCCCAATGCAATGTCATTTGACCTGCCCAGGGCCTGGCTGCACCTGGCGCAGGGGTTTCACGCTGTAGGGTAGTCCTAAACCCCAAAACCCCGAACCCCAAAACAATATGCGTGTTTCCCAAAATCGGGGGGACGCTCTTGTACCTAAACAGAACAGAATCCCTTCATTGTCGGAAACCTCCGTATGCCGGGCCCCTGATAATCCTGGAAAGGACCCCGAGACGCACTTTGCAGTCTCGGCAGCTACTACGGGTCCGATGGCCGACCTGCCAGCATCACTCCCCAAGCCGCACGGCAGTCGAGGTTCAGGGTTTAGGGCTTAGGGTTTAGGGTGAGGGCGCTTTAGGGTTTTGAGGGTTTGGGTGTTGACTCGGTTCTTTTTGGGGTTTGGGCGTTTTGGGTTTTGAGGGTTTGGGCGTTTTAAGGTTTTAGGGTTTGGGTGTTTTCGCATGCGTGCTCAATCGCGTTGACTTTCTGTATCTCAACCAGTAATTTTTTCCTATCATCTGGTGCGTCACGTCATGGAGGTTAAGGGTTTTGGGTTTAGGTTTTCGGGTCTAGGGTTCTTTGGCGTTTAGGGCAAACGAGGCAAACGAGGCGAGTGGGGGCCGATGGCGAACAGAGATATCGAAGAGGATGTAGCGAGGCTCCGATGCTCCAAGTCCTGAATCGCCTTGGGCATCTGCCTTCGTTTCGGGAATCGGTCGAAACCTCCAGGCCTTAAAACCACCCAAAAAACTACATCCTGAACCCAGACTTTGAAGAGCTCTTGGCCTCCGAAATCTGAGGCCGGTGACCCTCCCAGTGAAGTCCACGGCGCTGATCTGCATCGACTTCCAGCGCGGGCCTCTTCCAAGCCGGGGCTGAAAGAAACGTGGTAAACCCGTGCGCAGAGTCCAGGACCAAGGTGAGCCAAGGCAATCTCAACCTCAAACTCTGAACCCTAAACCCTAAACCCTAAACCCCAAACCCTAAACCCAGAATCCGACCCACACTGACACCCGAGGAAGGACTTCATGTCCGAAGGAGGCTTCGGACATGTGGCTTGGCTGGTAGTTATGGAGCCCCCCCCTAAACCCCAAAACCCCACCCAAAACACCCAACACACCAATAGGGTTTAGGGTTTCGGGTTTAGGGTTTTGGGAGCCCAAAACCCTCAACCCTAAAACCCCAACACCCTAAGCGCCAATTTCGAAATTCATGACTTTCTCTGAAGGCTTTGGGCAACGATGTGACAAAGCTCTCGGAGGAGTGCTTGCCAGGTGGATCACTACGATCAGCAGGTAGTGTACAGGAACCCTAAACCTAAAACCCTACACCCTAAGCCCAGTTTAAGGATGATGCGGCTTCGGCATTTTTTGACGCGCCCACAGCCACCTAGCAAGGAAGGAATGCTGCACCATGCTACCTCCCAACCTCAATCCTAACCCAGCACAATTCGTGGCCCCAACATTCTGGAAGGAGGCTTTAAACCCAAGCCCCCGAACCCTAAACCCTAAACCCTAAAACCTGAAGTATGTTGGTGAAGGTCCCAAACAGTAAGATTGTAGATCAAGGGACTCCAGAGCGCGACGCGTAGAACTCGACTTGCCAAGTTTGCAATCAGGGAAACTCACTGGGCTCAGCAGCAGTGCTATCAGGTTGCCGGGTTTGGAGGTTTGTGTTTAAGGCTGTTCTTTGGAGCTGGCAAGGGTCGGAACAAGCCGTTTGTTCCAATGCAAACGAGGGGATTTCCTCGTTTGGATTGAAAACAGCGTTGTGGCATTCATGGGTGGCTGTGTCCTGTGAAAACATATTGAGCCTGTTAGCAGCTGGCGGCAGCAGCCACAGCAGCACGGCAATGAGCTTGGTTTCATGTAGAATCAAGAAGCAGCTTGAGCCAGAAACTAACGATGAATAAGCTTGGTGCAGCGCGATCGGGTGCAACTTAAACATAGAAAGCTCACGTGCGACTGCACGTTCATCCAAGCGCCAATGGCGACAGAATTGGGGTTTCCTTCCTACTCAGAACCGCCATTGAACAAAATAGTGGTTCACAACAGTTTCGACAGGGTTGGCAAAACGCATTCGGGCAGTATCTGGTCATCCATGTCTATTGGGCTGTTTTTGCTTCACTTCAGCACAGACAAACCGAAAATAACAACAACAAAATGAAAAAATAGATTGGTGTTTTGCGACCGACACGTTCCGACATGTATCCGAAAAGATGCAGTCCCGGCACTGGCTTCCCGTCATGCTGCAGTCTTGGGGAAAAAGGAGGCCCTTGCACCCCAACCCTAAACCCTAAACCCCCTACACCCTCAAGTTCAAAAAAGATGCAGGTTTCGGGTAACCCTAAAGGCCATAAACCCTAAACGCCCTACACCCTACACCCTCGAGATTCAAAAAATGCAAGGTTTGGGGTGCACCCCAATTCTAAACCCTAAACCCCCCGACACCCTCAAGTTTAACCCTAAACCCTAAACCCCAAACCGTAAACCCTAAACCCTAAACCCTAAACCCTAAACCCTAAACCCTAAACCCTAAACCCTAAACCCTAAACCCTAAACCCTAAACCCTAAACCCTAAACCCTAAACCCTAAACCCCCTACACGCTCAAGTTCAAAAAGATGCAGGGTTTCGGGTGAGCTCACGAGTTTGTCCTTGCGGAGAGGCGCCCAGGTTCTGCTCGCGGCCGCGCGAGCCAAAAAGATGCTTGTCATCCACACGAAGGAGGCCGCCTCGGGAGGGTTTAGGGTTTAGGGTTAGGGTTTAGGGTTTAGGGTTTAGGGTTTAGGGTTTAGGCTTTAGGGTTTGGGGTTTAGGGTTTAAGGGTTTATGGTTCAGGTTTTAGGGTTTAGGGGTGATATTTCATAAGCATGTGATGGCGCAGCCGCGCTAACGAGTGGTTCAGAGACAGACCATTGGTATTCATAGCCTTAGGAGGCTGGTACTGCTTCACGTAGGGATGTTTATCGGCAAGCCCTACATGGTCACCCTGTTTGGGGGTCCTTATTCTAAGGCCCCTATCATTCAGGCTACCCAAACAGGGACCACGATTTAAAGAACTGACCACATCCCCGAGCCCTAGGCCCTAAACCCTAAACCAAGAATCGCGGGCACCCTGTCTCAATGGTATGTGAGGCCCACCGAGATGATCTGAAAGACTGCTGCGCCCCTGAGCTCAGAGTGCTCATACATGTACACGGTACTAGAGTAGAATGTACGATAGTATACCGTACTAGGCTATACTATACCATGCTATACTATAGCAGACTAGTGTATTCAAATATTGGGGTTGGGCTAAAGGTCCTTCTGGATCATTTGGGGTTCCTGCAGGTTTATAAGGGGAATATAGGGTCATTTAGGGAACAGGTATTTTGACCAACTACCATAACATTCTACGTAGATCTTCGTGAACTCATGGAGACTCCTAAGGACATGAAGAGGATCGGACCACGGTGCCCGCCGGAAGGAAAGCGAATCGGTGAGGCGGGCTCGGACCACGGACTTGCGAGTCCAGGTTGAGGCAGAAAAGAAGATGTAAGGTTGGGCATACCTTGCCTATTTTCGGCTCTTGGCCACCTAAATAGATGGAATACAAGCTGCAACTTAATCACAACCCCTACCTATGAGCCATAGCCCGAAACGGGAATGGGGGTCTTGCAGAATTTGGTTCAGGGTTTGGGGAGGGTTAAGCATTCGTTTTAGCTGCTTGGATTTGCCAATCAGGTTAGTTAGAATCCCTAAACTCCGCTCCGGGACGCAACGACGACGACGACAAGGTCCACACTTCAAGAGGACGGATTTCGTTCTGCAATCTGATAGTTTGCTTGGTCAGGGTAGTGAGCTTCCTGTAGTTGATTTACCCTTATACCCTAAGCCCTAAGCCCCAACACCCCAAAACCCCAAAACTCCTAAACCCTAAGCCCGAAGCCCTAAGCCCTAAGCCCTAAGCCCTAAACCCTAAACCCTAAACCCTAAACCCTAAACCCTAAGCCCTAAGCCCTAAGCCCTAACCCCCAAACCCTAAACCTTAAACCCTAAACCCGAAACCCTAAACCCTAAACCCGAAACCCGAAACCCGAAACCCTAAACCCTAAACCCTAAACCCGAAACCCTAAACCCTAAACCCTAAACCCTAAACCTTAAACCCTAAATCCTAAACCCTAAACCCTAAACCCTAAACGCAACGGAAGGTCCTCCAAGAGGGCATGGGGCGCTTGCTCATCGACGGGTCTCCCGGCAATGAAATCGTGGACGTGGTCAAGCCGCTTGACGCTGGGCTGTGGAAGATGGGGGCGTAAGGTTTAGGGGGTATTCTGCTACCTCATGCTATATTGTATTAAAGACACCATAGGTATGTTGCCGTGTATGGAGCTGATTGGGGTTCCTTGGGCCGGGCCCGCTTTCTCAGTAAGAAGATGCGAGAAGATCTGAGGAGGGCGAAGTCGTCCTCTGCAAGCCAGGCCCGGGTTTAGGGTTTAGGGTTTAGGGTTTAGGGTTTAGGGTTTCGGGCTTAGGGTTTCGGGCTTAGGGTTTAGGGTTTGGGGATTAGGGTTTAGGGTTTGGGGTTGAGGGTTTGGGGTTTGGGGTTTAGGGTTTGGGGTCTATCCCTGTGACTCACTGGGATGCCTGAATATTCCAAGTCTCATGCGGTTTCGGGTTTACGGTTTACGTTGTAAGAAGATTCGTGGCAGCTAAACCCTAAACCCCAACCCTCCACCCTAACCACACCCTCAACCCTAAACCCTAAACCTTGAACCCTAAACCCTGAGCTGCTCATACAAAGCAAACAAACCTTCCCCTTGGCAGAGGCAAAGGCGCCTTCTTCCTGACAGGGCTGAATCAGTTGCTTCGGGATCGGGGCATCAGCCACCTCATCTTCTGCGGAGTGACGACGGAGGCACGGGCATGTTCATCCTTCCTTTTTGCAAAGGTTAGGCCTGAAGCCTAAACCTAAAAAACCTAAACCCTAAAACCTAAACCCTAAACATTAAGCGAGCTCCTGACAAGGTCTGCGTGCAGGTCACGATGCGCGAGGCGAATGATCGTGGCTACGAGTGCGTGCTCGTGGAGGCTCCGCCCCCCCCCCCCCCCCCCTGTTTCCATGAAGGTACACACATTTGCACATCCCTAAACCCCTGAACCCTAAATCCTAAAACCTAAATGAAGCAGCCTCAGCTTTACACCTTGATCAAACCATGATCTAGGACCCACCTTACTTGTTATCTTTGGGTTCCCTTATAACACCCCTTTAAGCCAGAAAGGGTGCCCCTGGCTACTCTTCAGTCTAGTAGCCCTGAACCCTAAATCCTAAACCCTAGACCCCAAAACCCGTCGCCTCTTGGTAGGGTTTAGTGACGTTGTCATGATTCAAGTATGTCCTTTTGGGTGACTCCCTGGCTGGTCAGGACGCCACTGCCAGCTACATTCCCAAGTTCAAGGCCTTTCCTGGGGGCGATGGGAGAGGTTTGGGTTTAGGGTTTAGGGTTTGGGGTTTAGGGTTTAGGGTTTGGCATCTCAAGTCTAGGCATTCATAGTCAAGCAATGTGGTTGTGAAAAAGGAGAATACCCACCCAGCCAGAGAATCTAAAGTTCATTCAATCCATAACCCTAGACCCTGTACCCTAAGGCCCTAAACCCTAAGCCCTGCACCGCTCCATAGAAGAGTGGGTGTCCGGCTTCGGCCTTAAGGAAACTTTGGGAGGCCTAACGGGGGGGGGGGGGTGTCCGGTTCCGGCTCCGTTTTTGGTTTTGGCATCGGGTGACCTTAAGGCGCTCTGTATCACAATAGTAACGTGGTTTCCACGCACTGAGGCTTGCCAAAAGTAATCGCGGCCCATGAACACGCATCGTGTCTTTGGCGCCTTTTGCTGCTGGTACCTGGCCGGCACAACAAAATCATCGACGGCTTTCAACTGCAGCAGGAGAGCAAAGCTGGTGATCCAATTCACTGGAGAATCTTCAAAGACTGCCAGAGGCGCTACAGCAGTCATACTCTTGGGTAGCCCAGCGGTGCCTTTTTGCCCTTTTCTAGGTGCAAGGTTCCCTTATCAAGCACCCACAGCCCACAACCAAGACGGTACCCTTACATCCCCTCATTCTAGTAGGGTTTTTGGGTTACCAAAGTAGTATTCAGAGCAAGCAACCCACACCTTAAAAACACTATACTAAACCCCAAACCCTAAACCCTAAACCCTAAACCCTAAACCCTAAACCCTAAACCCTAAACCCTAAACCCCAAACCCTAAACCCTAAACCCTAAACCCTAAACCCTAAACCCTCAGCTCCCTGGGCTGGCCAGGCCGCGGTCGTCGAAATGGTCCGATCTCAGGGAGGGATCGTGGGCTACACCATTGAGCATGCCGAGGCCCGGGGCTATGGCAGCCGAGGGCGATATTTTTTTCCGATGCGAGAAGTGCATCGGAAGCCACCACCCTGAATTAGCCCTAAACCCCAAAAACCCCAAAAACCCTGAACATCCCTGAACCCCGGCTGAACCCCGAACCCTGAACTCGGAAAACCTAGTCGAGCCCGGGCTTGAAGGACGTGGCGACAGCCTTGAAATCCGCTGCGTGAGCTGGCCGAATTGGAACGTTGTACATGGGCCTTTGTCCTTCTAAGTCTCTCTAGACGGCGGCAAAGTTTGACGAAGCTTCAGCTTCACACAAAGCACCCGGAACGCTAAGCGCTAGACCCTAAACCTTAAACCCTAAACCCCAAACCCTAAACCCTAGACCCTAGTTCCTAGACCCTAAACCCTAAATGCAGGACACTTGGGAAAGTCAGCCAGATTTCGAAAGTGTAAAACGTCTCACCTAGTTGGGTTCGGCATGACTTCGCACGAGTACCACGCAAGACTTTATTTTTCCACTGGATGGGTCGCGCGGTCTTCCAGTTCGAGGTGCAACATCACGGCGGATGTTGCTACTCTGAATGCCCTGCTAAAATCCAGCTAGCTCGCGTATGATAATTACAGTATCCACATCTTCACTTCTGTTTATGTCAGCTCTTTCAAAGATGAGAAGCTTAAACTGCTGCAATTCAGCGGGTTTCTGCCTTCGCTCTTATTGCTCACTGCCCAGCCGCTTCGTCAACCAGTGCTGCTAGAGCAAGATTTGACCCTTTCGTCCCGGAGCAAGAGCCAAGGGAAGGATGCGCCGGGGCAAAGTTTCTGCCGCTCACAGGTAGATGAGGGTTTAGGGCCGATTTTTGAAGTACTTCGGTGTTTCTGTGGTAGCAGGTTCAGGGCCCGCTTCGTTGCGAACGATGTTGGTGTAAGACCATATAGCTACCTCATGCTCCGGGACAGGCGTGCTTGGCGCAATGCGAAAAGCTCCTGAGGCTATGACAGGAGAACTCGCGGTCAGATGCTTGCTCCCACTGCCTGGCCGGGAAGTCCATGGATGTTAGCATGGAGCAGGGGGTGCTGGGGAGTTTTGCGGTCGATGGCTGAATGCCCATCTTGGCGCATCGGCTCCGATCACATACCCCAGCTCATCCCTCTCCAGATCTCGCCATGGACTCACATGCGGTCGATCTCTCTGTGTGTTTTTTTCTCCGGATTCTATTGATAATTCTAAGCCATTTCTGCCCATGCAAAAGGGCACCCTCGTGCCTGCTTGCTAGGAGAAAAAGACGTGCGAGTGAGTTGCATCTTGCAAGTCCGAAATGTCTCTCTCCCTTTCTCTCCCCCTTTCTCTCTCTCTCTCTCTCGCTCTCTCCGTCTCTCTTCGGACATCGTGAATGTCGTGCACACGAGGTAGTCACACTGGTGACACGGCCCTAAACCTAAGCCCTAAACCCTAAACCCTAATTCTACGGTCGAAACGACTGGTGTCTTTCTCCTCTTTAGTGTAAAGTAGGCAAGGGGGTCACGAAGACTCGAAGCGACCTCCCGTCAGCGCTGTAGGGTTTAGGGTTTAGGGTTTAGGGTTTAGGGTTTAGGGTTTAGGGTTTAGGGTTTAGGGTTTAGGGGTTGCAGGTTGCAGGGTTATATGTCTTTAGGCTCCTCCGCGTTATAGGCCGTGAGGATTTTCCGAGCTCTCGCCTGCCCATCTGTCTCGCTTGCCATTTTTCTTCAGAGTCTTGGCTCCGGAGGTGGGGCTACCCTTTCGAGGCCGGACCCTAAACCCTAAACCCTAAACCCTAAACCCTAAACCCTAAACCCTAAACCCTAAACCCTAAACCCTAAACCCTAAACCCTAAACCCTAAACCCTAAACCCTACACCCGAGACCCTAAACCCTAAGCCGCAGGTTCTGAAAGTTCGTTGTATCTCTTGTCATCCATGGGCACCCTCAAAGGTGCACCCTAAACCCTACACCCCAAACCCGAAGCCCGAACAAGGGATCCCAGAAATCACCACAAAAGTGGCTGTTGTTGCGAGGCCATGGCAGAAGACGAGCAACCAGCCAGGCCATCCGATGAAACGGCGGTTTTGACAGCTTGAGTTAGGGTTTAGGGTTCAGGGCTTAGGGCTTAGGGCTTAGGGCTTAGGGCTTAGGGCTTAGGGCTTAGGGTTGAGGGTTTAGGGTTTAGGGTGGAGCAACCGATGGGTTTACCAGTAATTTCTGTTTTTTGGCGCGTCGGACTCAAGGGACATTGTGTCCAATTCCGGCTTTGGCGTCCTTGGGCTTAAAGAACTGGGAGTTTACGAAATAAGGGACCCCGAATATAGACCCCCAAGTAGTAGTAGGATTCCCTTGTAATCAGGACCCGAATAAGGTACCCTCAAGTTCGGAAACCCACGGCTAAACCCTAAACCCTAAACCCTAAACTCTAACCCTTAATCCCCTAACCCTTAATCCCCTAAACCCCCAAACCCCTATACCCCTAAACCCCTATAAACCCCTCGAACCCCTCAAACCCCTCAAACCCCTAAATCCTAAACCTCTCAAACCCCTCAAACCCCTCAAACCCCTCAAACCCCTCAAACCCCTCAAACCTCTCAAACCCCTCAAACCCCTCAAACCCCTAAATCCTAAACCTCAAACCCCTCCAAAACCCTCAAACCCCTCAAAACCCTCAAACCCCTCAAACCCCTAACCCCCAAACCCCTCAAACCCCTCAAACCCCTCAAACCCCTCAAACCCCTCAATCCCCTCAAACCCCTCAAACCCCTCAAACCCCTCAAACCCCTCAAACCCCTCAAACCCCTCAAACCCCTCAAACCCCTCAAACCCCTCAAACCCCTCAAACCCCTAAACCCCTAAACCCCTAAACCCCTAAACCCCTAAACCCCTAAACCCCTAAACCCCTAAACCCCTAAACCCTAAGCCCTAAACCCTAAACCCTAAACCCTAAACCCCCACAACTAAGTCTCGATGTGAATTTGCAAGCTGACAGGCTGACCAACTCCCCGCAGGATCGGGGCAGCCTCCTGAGACTCGCCTGCACCTCCTCGGTGAGATCTGGGGGGCTGAAGGTCCGTGAGGTCCCGATTCGAGGCTTAGGGTTTAGGGTTTAGGGTTTAGGGTTTGGGGTTTAGGGTTTAGGGTTTAGGGTTTAGGGTTTAGGGTTTAGGGTTTAGGGTTTAGGGTTTAGGGCGGCAAAACTGCAGTAGGAGCAGCCAAGGATCAGTCTCCGGTCTGCGAACCGAGAGCCCGCAGCCAAGGAGTTTGGGGGGGAGGTTTGTTGGGAGGTTTTCGCAGAGGGTTGGCTATGTAATATGAACTGTATATATGTAAAAAGCACGAATAGTAATACTAATTAATTAATCATAATCGTAATAATAACAACAAGATTAATCCTAATGGAAATCTTAATCGTATTCACAAAAAGTAACAACAAGAACAATAAGAATGGCAATAGCAATAACAATAACAATATCAAGATCAATAGCAATAGCACTAGAAATAGTAGCAAACATACGAAATACACTCTAATATACGATAATCTACTATAAGATACTAGAATATGCGATAAGTATACTATTAAAATCTACTATAGCATACTATGATATCTACTATAACATAGAGATTTTATATGCTATACTATGCTACAATATGCGATAATCTACTCCAATATACTATAGTACACGACAAAAAACAACCGACCAACATGTTCTGCAATATACGATCGCATTCTATCATGTACTATCATGATGGGTATCGTGGTTCGACACTGATTGAGTCAATATTTTCCATTCCCGGGGCATGCTGCGCACAAGCGTGTCGTGCGTTGTCGATCCCCAGGTTGCAGCAGCTCCGACAGTCCCGTGATGACACGCCTGAGACCCGTGCCAAAGAGGCTTGCGTCATTTTCATGTGGGGGCTTGCGATATTAGGGGCACCTTACTGGGGTCTTATCCCCATTTGAAGGCACCATAGCGACAGGGCGCCACATGCCGCTGGCACGGTAAAGTGCTTGATGGGAGCCATGGAGTATGGCGGCCTGTGCTGTGTAGGCGCACGCAGAAGCCTTTCTGCAGGTTCTCAAACACGTACCGGGTACAGTGGCTTCCTACCCTTACGAAACCCTGATCCCCATTCACCCAAGCCACTAAACTCCGTAAACCCTCCAGGCAGAGATACTCGAAGGCATTGCGCGCACCCACGCGTCCCTTTCGGAGCCATTGGGAGCTGTGGCTTGCCATTATTGGGGGGGGGGGGAAAGTACTCAAAGAGTTCAGAGGGCGCATGAATTAGGGTAGGATCCAGGGTCCCGGGTCCAGGGTTTGTTATTGGTGTGTGTAGAATGGCCATTCTATGGTTCCTTGTCATTTTTCTCTGTGAGTGTAGATTGTCACGGGGAAAGGTTTCCCAAACGATGCATGCCTGTAGTGAGCGAAACTGTGAGCTGTGTTCTTGTGCCTGGTATGGATCGCACTTACTGTAAACCCAAACCCTAAACCCCAAACCCTAAACCCCAAACCCTTGACCGAAAACCCTAAACCCCAAACCCTAAACCCCAGACCCTAAACCCTAAACCCCAAACCCTAAACCCCGAGCGGAACCAGGTGAGGAATGCTCTGCTCGCTGCAGAGATCCGACGGGAGCTCCAGGACAGCTTGCTCAGTGCCCCAACGACCCACAAGTTAAGGGTTTAGGGTTGGGGGGCTTCGGGGGTCTTTTGGGGTTTTGGGTTTTTTTTTGGGGGGAGGGGGGGGGGTTCTTGGGGGGTTTTTTGGAGGGGGGGGGGGGGGGTTGGGGAGTTTTGGGGGGGCTTTTGGGGAGTTTGGATGGTTCAGGGCTAGGGGTCTCCATGAAGGATTCCGAGCCTTCTTTCTCACCTGTTAGGACGAGGTTGGGGAGGCGACCGCCCTGCTTCTGGCCGTGCCTTGTCTTGGGACACTGCACTGCTGGTGGCGGTTCCTGGAGGGTTGAGGCTTTGGGGTGGATTTTCTAGTGGATTCCATCTGAGGCAAACCAGCAGCGAAATCTCGGCGAGATGATCGACGCTACGGACCCACCGTCATGCATAAGGGGGGGGAGCGCAGGTCTTTGCGGCATGCGTCGCATGATGGTCGGTGTTTGGTCTCTTGGAAGGGTCGGCCTTGGCTTGGATTGCATCACCACCACCCCTTGGCCCAGATTCCTAAACCTAAACCCTAAACCCGAACTAGGGATCGCACGGAGAGCACATACAAAAGTCAAGAGCAGCTCACTTCAGGAGACAGCCGAGCGAGCCTTGCAGCTTGCGAAGAAGACCGGCACGGCCAGCCAAGAGGCGGAGGCCGCGCTGAGGAATGAGGTTCTATTCTTCTTCTTCTTGTTATGATTATTATCATTATTATTTATTCTTCTTGTTGTTTTTTTTTTTGTTTGTGGCTTGGTATTCTGAGTATGAGGTTGAGTGTTTTAGTTTTTTCTTCTTATTCTTATTCTGGCTCACCGTTCTGAGTAGTACTATTATGGCTGATTGCTATTCCTCTTGTTGCCATTATTTTCTATTCTGATTATTGTGATTATTATTGTTGTTAGTATTGTTATTATTATGATGACGATTGTTGTTATTGTTGCTATTGTTATTATGCTTACTACCATTGTGATGTGCATCTATACTCATGATGGCCTCTTCTTGTTATAAAGTCGCTTATGTTTATTGTTATGGCTTAGGGCTTAGGGCTTAGGGTTTAGGGTTTAAGGTTTAGGGTTTAGGGTTTAGGGTTTAGGGTTGTTTCTGGAAAGTTGCTCAGTGAATTCCTCCGCTGATGCCCAGGTTGCTTAGGGTAACCTGGTATGACAGAGTATTAGGGTTTAGGGTTTAGGGCTCAGGGTTTAGGGTTTAGGGTTTGGGGTTTGGGGTTTGGGGTTTAGGGTTTTTGGTTTAGGGTTTAGGGTTTAGGGCTTAGCGTTCTTTTCTTTTTCTCTCTCCTCAGAAGCTTGCCCGAACCGACTTCGGGTTTGGTTTCTGCGATGGCGGGTTGCCCCAGATGTATCCCAAGTCTCGTACCCCCTAAGCCCCACACCCCAAACCCCAAGCCCCAAACCCCAAGCCCGAGACCCTAAACCCTAAACCCGAAACCCTTATATGGGCCAGCATAGGCGCACCCCCCCTCCCCCTCCCCCCCCCATGGTATTTCCCCCCCCCCCCTGTGGTTTCATGGTGGGTTTTGGGTTCCCTCCCCCCCCCCCCCCCTGTGGTTCATGGTCTGTGGTTCATGGGTTCGGGTTTAGGGGTTTAGGGTTGGGCTTTAGGGTTCAGGATTTTCACTCTGGTCCATTGGTTCACTGCTGTGGGTTTAGAGTTTGATTTGGGTTCAAGGTTCGGGGTAATGATAGGTTTACGGTTTCCCCTCTCCCCCCTGTGGTTCGTGCTGGGTGTACGGTTGAGGGTTCAGAGTTAAAGCAGCAAAGGTTTCGGGTTTACCCTTCTCCCTCCCGTCGTTCATTGGTGGGTTTAAGTTTTAGGGCTAGGGTTCAGGGTTTGGGGTTTAGGCTGAGGCTTCTCTGTCCCCCCCCCCCCCCCGTGGTCCGTGGTGTTTTTAGGGTTAACAGGCAGGGTTTGGTGGGGGGTTGCCGGGGGGGGGGTGGGGGGATACCATTGGGGGGGGGGGGGTCGATTACGCGGAACGCGGGCGCATATAAACCCTAAGAATCCCTAAACCCTAAACCCTAAACCCTAAACCCTAAACCCTAAACCCTAAACCCTAAACCCTAAACCCTAAACCCTAAACCCTAAACCCTAAACCCTAAACCCTAAACCGCAAAACAACGGAAGCTCCACCCGTGCCGCTCTGCCAGGCCAGCAAAGCTCTGAGTCGCATTTTAGGGGAGCGAGGCGTGGTCGATCCAATGTTGGATTTAGGGTTTTGGGGTTTAGGGTTTAGGGTTCAGGGTTAGGGTTTAGGGTTTAGGGTTTAGGGTTTAGGGTTTAGGGTTTAGGGTTTAGGGTTTAGGGTTCAGAGTTCAGGGTTCAGGGTTTAGGGTTTTGGGTTTTGGGGTTCTCGGATGCTAAGCTCGATCAGATCCCCCACCTAACCGGATGTGCGCAGGGTTCGCACGAACCAAAAATGTGAGTCATAGCAATATCAGCCAGTTACCGCTACCACAACTTGTCAAGGCTTGTGTAGAGCGAATTTAAGCGTTTCGACCTGCAGAGCATTTGAATGCTTATCCGCCATGACGTGCGAATATGCCCGCAGGCCTCTACGACAAGGCCCCTCAGCGTCCGGAGGCCCTCCAAACGCTGGAGGCCCATTGCTTTGAAGCGGCCATAGGATTAGTATAGCAAATAGATAAAAACACACCAATCTAAGCCTAAACCCTAAACCCTAAACCCTAAACCCTAAACCCTAAACCCTAAACCCTAAACCCTAAACCCTAAACCCTAAACCCTAAACCCTAAACCCTAAACCCTAAACCCTAAACCCTAAACCCTAAACCCTAAACCCTAAACCCTAAACCCTAAACCCTAAACCCTAAACCCTAAACCCTAAACCCTAAACCCAGTAACACAAAATAGTACAACAATGTACCCCTGTGTGTGGATGGCATCTCGGGAGTGGTATGCGCCAAGAGAGGCCCTGGTCGCAGCGGTGAAGGCACGTGACGGCGTGGCGGCCAAGGCGCGGCAAATGCATATTAAATTAGATATTGTGTGCTGAATATTAGATGCTATATGGTATATGTTATGTATTGTATTAAGCAGTACATGCTTTTATATGTATACATCTTATGCAGAGTTGGTTCACTCGCATTCCGGCTCAGTAGAGTCCGTCAGTCTGCACGCAACGGTGAGGAGGCGGAGCAGAAGATCAACTCCTACGGGGCCCTTGTGACAGACAAGGTTCGTGGAAGTTACGTCTGCATGTGCTTGTCGCCTATAGTACTTAGCTCAAGTGGCTAATGATCTCTGGTCGCAAAGCCCTCGTCGACCTTTTTCCCGATATACATTGTATTATGTAATGTATATTTGCATATAGCATACGACATGCGAGATTATATATGCGGTATGTTATATTTTTTGTCGGACAGGACATCGCCGATCACATTGTGCCGCTGATCAGCAGAGATCCTGAAGCCACCACGTTCCTTAGGCCAGTGGGCTTCTTGTTGAGCTGCTGT